ACAACTGAGTAAAGAACATTTCTACAAAGCGCTTGCCCATTGTTCCCCATGGTGAACATCTACTGTTGTTGCTGGTTGCCGTCAGGTTGATTCTGACTCGTGGACACCCCATGCTAGTAGAGTGTAGCTGCAGTTTTCAAGGTTCTGTCCTGCTGGAAGTAGATTGACAAGGTCCTATCTTTCGTGATACCTCTGGGTGGATTCAAACCCTTTGTGCCACCCAGGGATTTATTATACATCCCTTGCATTTTATGAACCAGTATCGATACATTATTATTAACTGAGGCCATTATTTAAGATTTCTTTAGTTTTCAACCTAATGCTCTGTTTGTTCTCTTAAGATTCCACCCAGGAGGCTGCATTGTATTTAGTTGTAGTCTTCCTCCAGGTCAGTGGTTCTCAACCTTCCTAATGCTGTGACCCTTGAATACAGTTCCTCATGTTGTGGTGCCCCCCCCCTAAAATTATTTTCCTTGTTACTTAATAACTGTAATTTTGCTACTGTTATGAATTGGGCAACCCCGTGAGTCGTTTGACCCCCAAAGGGGTCGTGACCCACAAGTTGAAAACTGCTGCTCTAGGCTCTGTGTGGCCATTGCAATGAATTATCAAACCCCACAGCAGTGGGGAGTGCTGTGGAAGGACAGCTGATGTTAGAATTGTTAAGAGAGGAAAGAGGGTGGGGGCATGTCTGCTAGCCACCTCTTAGGAATTGATTTTGGACTAATGTTAGTTTGATACATCTTTTCTTTTGTGAAGTCCGAGGAGGTCAGACACTGCCCTCCATGCCATTCTTGCAGATAACCTTTTAATCTGGGACTGCACACATTCTCAAAGGTCCCCTTTCAGCCAAATAATAGTTTAGCCTATAAAGTGAACGGTAACACCCATGTGGAGTATGCTCTTATATACAATCAACAAAAGAGACCAAACTGTCAACATTTACCCAAAAGTAATGATGAGAAGGCAAGGAGGGTCAGGAAAACTGATTGGATGCAATGGAACAGGTACAGAGAAAATGGTGAGTGCAAATCTGACACATTGCTGGGACTGTATGCAAATTTGTATGCCAATTGTTTATTGGGAATTTAATCTGCTGTGTAAGCTTAACCTAAAACATAGTAATATAAAAACAACAAAAACCACTACTCGTTGACTTGCTTTCTTTTGTCTTCCACAAACACAGGTACTTATTATCAAAATATCTTAACCTTGTGTTTTGAGGATATAAAAAAAGAACATTCCTCATACAAACATCCTGGAGACGTGGGTTCAGATAACAGGACTCTAATGTTTCACTGATTAAAAGATCTTAACCACTTAAAGAAAATGTAAAAAGCAAAGTCTTTTAAGCAACACAGGTTTAGTTTTATATTTCCTTTTGAAAAATAATTGGACTGTGGTTATTTTGCCACCTTTTTTAGTGACCATTAAGGTGTTGCAAAAGATTTATTTTTGTGTGTGTGATAAAGGATTGATTCAGCTTTCTTCGCTTGACGTTAGCTGCCTGGCATTAATTTCGGTTTCCATAGAAGCAAGCTGGTAGTGGAGAACACAGAGTATCTATAGATTTCAGAACCACACAATAGGAAATATTGCAAGTATTGCAGGTATTAAATGCTGGCTTATCTTCCTGTGCTGGGTTGCCTATTGTTGGAAGATACACAACTGATACTCAAGTACCAGCAGGATCACCATGGTGATCATCACAGTGGCCAGGTTACAGCAGAACTTGAAAACTAAGATAGACCAGGAACCTGTGCTCCCATTTCTAAAGAGAAATGGTCACAGAAAACCTTATGAAGAGCAGCAGAACACTGATCTAGTGCAGCAGTTCTCAGCCTGTGGGTCGCGACCCCGTTGGGATTCAAACGACCCTTTCACAGGACTCACCCAATTCATAACAGTAGCAAAATTACAGTTATGGAGTAGCAACGTAAATAATTTTATGGTTGGGGGGGTCACCACAATATGAGGAACTGTATTAAAGGGTCACGGCATTAGGAAGGTTGAGAACCACTGATCTAGTGTCAGGTGAAGAGGCCCTCTGGTGAGAGAAAACTTGAATTACTAGGAAAGAGCTGCCTCCTCGATGTACAGTAAGCCTTAGTGATGTGGGCAGAGTAAAGCGGGACTTGAATTTGCTGGTAGGACATTACTCAAAATGAGAAGAAATGGCTGCACACACCCATTAACAATTGGCATGTGGAATGTACAAAGAATTAATTTAGGAAAATTAGAAGTTGTCAAAAACCAAGAGTATCATTGCTAATGGAAGTTGACTGAAAGCAGAGAATACCAGAAAGATATTTACCTGTGCTTTTTTTGTCTATGTAAGTATGTTTGGCTGTGTGGATCATAACAGTTTATGGATAACATTGTGAAAAATGGTTATTCTAGAACACTGTGTTCCCGTGGAACCGGTATAGAGACCAAGAAGCAGTTGTTTGAAGAGAACAAGGGGATGATACTGTGTGTTTAAAATCAGGAAAGGTGTGTGTCAGTTGTATCATTCTTCATACTTATTCATTCTGTACAGTGAGCAAATAATCTGAGAAGTTGGACTGGAGGAAGGCTTATTACCAATTTGTAATATGCAGTTGACACAATGTTGCTCTTTCAAAGAGATGGGGACTGGAAGCATCTTCTGATGAAGATCAACGAATCCATACCTCCTTTTGTATGGATTATACCTCAACATTTAGAAAGCAAAAATCCTGACAACTGGACCAATAAACAACACCATACTTCAGGGAGAAAAGGTTGAAGTTGTTAAGAATTTTAACTTACTTGGCTCCACAATCAATGCCAATGGAAGCATCAGTCAAGAAATCAGATGATGTATTGCATTGAACACATCTGTTGCAAAAGACCTCGTTAAGTGTTAAAAACCAAAAATGCCACTTTGAGGACTAAGGTGTGCCTAACCCAAGCCTTGGAAGTTTCCGTCAACTCAAAGGGATGTAATAGTTGGACAATGATTATGGAAGACTGAAGAATTTATGCCTTTGAATTATGCTCATTTTGAAGAACAATACCATGGATTGCCAAACAACTGTATCTTGGCAGAAGTGCAGCCAGAATGCTTCTTAGAAACGAGGATGGTGAGATTTCTTCTCATGTATTTTGGACACGTTATCAGAAGGGACTTGTCCTTGGTCCCTGCTTGGTAGAGCATCATAGAACAAGAGGAAAATTTCCACATGGCTGCAAAATTATATTCAAACATAGGAATGATGTTTGAATGATTGTGAGTATAGTGCAAGATTGAGCAGTGTTTGCTCTGTGGCACATAGGGTGGCTATGATTTGGAGCTGACTCAACACCATGTAATAACAATCTAGCAACAACAGATGTTACTTCTCTGATACAAGAGTTTGCTCATTTAAAAATAACAAGCTCATTGTCTTAGCTAGTGATGGCGTAACAGAAATAACATAAGTTGGCTGCTTTTAAGAACAATGTTTTTTCTCACAGTTCTGGAAGCTAAACATCTAAATCAAAATTTTGGCTGGGTCAATTCCTTCTTTGTTGGTAGCCCTGAGCTTTTGGTTTTCATGGCTCCTAGAAACCACTGTGTCTTGTAGACACTTTCACATGGAGTCTATCATCTCTAGTATGTGTTTGCTTGCTTTGTGTCCATGCTACACTTTATATCACTCAGAAATAATTAGGTTTAAAATCCACCGTGCTCTAACGTGACTTAACTGATGGATTGTATTACATTAGATGGCATTATAGAAAGTGGTTATATTAAATCACAACTATAGGTAAAGGCATTAGGATCCCAACACATATTTTTGGAGGAGCGAATTTAATCCATAAAATTCACACTTATTAAAAATTACCCTTATGGAGCTATTTAAAACATTTACAAGGTTCAGGTTAACATATAAAAGGCTACGTCTAAGAACAAGAGTATTGCTACAACATCATAGAAACCTTTATTAAACAAAAATATCAAAATGAAAAGCTATTGTTTCTTGACAATATGTAGACATTCTAGGTCTATACATTTCTTAAGAAACCGTTTCCATCTCTCTCACCCTTCCGTGAAGAGCTCTCTCTCATTTGATTTCTACCACATCAAAATGGCAGCTTTGGCATCCCTGAGGGACTCAAGTCTTGTTCCTTTCCATGTTCTTTAGATTTGGGGAGCAAAACGCCTGAAAAGTTGAGATCAGGGCTGGAGGGTTGATGGGGTAAGGTGTAACAACAAAATTCTTGGACAGCATTGCTACCTTCAAAGAATGAGCAGGAAAAGAATTCCTTGTGCACATTTCCTGTTCTTTTCCTCACCAAGGTAATTTTCCATTTTTTTAGAACTTCATAATAAGCTCCCATGAATATGCTTTGCCCCTGAGAAAATCTATTAAGAAATTACCCTTTTGGATTCCAGAAAATAGTTGTTAACCATTTGAGCTGACTTTTCTACCTGGAATTTAACTGGGCTTGCAGATCCCCTTGGAATCTGTTGGGTTTTGGGGTTTTTTAAAAATCATTTTATTGGTGG